CGGCAAAAGGCACTGATCCCGTCACGTCTAAGGCTTGCTATTAAAGCCTTCATCGGACAGTTGTCAAAATGTCAAAAATAGAGAAAGGGAGATCATGTAACTTACTGGACAATCAATACATATACAGGACGTCCCGGCTGGCTAATGCGGCCAGTTAGCCTAGAACCTCATGGATAGGGTCATATTTTCATCTGTTAGAAAGTAAGTAACATCAGCCTTACCCTGTTTGGCAGTCTTTTAAACATATGTTCAATATTTTGCAATAATGACGCCGCTGCCTGCCTTTTCTGTCTTCTTGCTCTTTTCGACCCACAGCGTGACTCAGTATCCATGGATGTCGCCATAAAGATTCAAATCTTATCACTCAGTGGGTTATGTCACATGACTTGCGTCACATTATTGTCGCTTTGAGGCTCTATAGGATACAAATTACTGGGCAAACTTATTTAAAATGACACTTTCTTACAATATATATATATATATATATATATATATATATATAAATATATATATATATATATATATATAAATTACATAAAATAATTAAAAGGGCAGATTCTGGACGTTTTGGCCGTGGGGGAACCCCTCCCAGGTTACGGGCATGGCAAAGTGATCAGTGTCGTTATAATGGCTTTTCCCACAGCTGGTGGAGGAGACGAGAGTTCGGTTGGAGTTCACTGTAGTGCATACATTTTCATTATTTTCACTGTAAAATCTTCACCTTGGCGCAGATTTAGGAGACATTTATGCTGAATGCATCTTTGCACCTAAAAACACATGGGAGGGGGAGAGGGAGGGGGGGAGGTGAGGTGACGAGACAGGCTCCAAAGTGACCTGCAGTTTGGCAGTATTTCCAGTTTTGACTGAACAGAAGGGAGACGTCACGTGGTAAATATGAACTAGAGGTCTGCATTAGAGCTGAAGATCTTTGCCCAAACCCGGAGGGACCCGAAAAAATCCAAATCCCTGCATTAAAATCCATCCCTGCAAAAGGTGAAACAAATGATGACGAAGAAGTAAAAAAGCGAATTTTGACGGCGGTCAAGCCAGTCACTAGCTCACTAGCTGGGTCACAAGCAGTCACCACCAAGGTAGGCTATTTCGGCGGTCGCTCATACACTGCATATTACGGTAGAGCGCAAACCGCAAGCTGACAGGTAAAAAGACGAGGCCACTCGCTACATTAATACTACTGTCATGGAAAATCAAATGGATGTTCCTGGATGGTAGAAGATGAACAAACAATCATGCCAAAAACTTGCAAAGTTAGCCAGATCAGAACTCTGCATTTCGGCCTGTAGCAGTAGCAGTGAAACGGTGTTCAGCTGCTGGACCCCGTGAGCGCAGGACTGCCCTAAAGCCTGTGGATTTAATAATGTTCCTCCACAAAAACACGTAGCCTAATCTTGGTTAGTAAAGGGTTTTTAAATTATAAATGAATATTAATTAAACCATATAATCATAATGTAGACAGAGTATACAGGGTTGACAATATTTTTTCAAAATCCAGCTTCACCTTAATGCCAGATTGTGAAGGGAAGTGGAGAAACAAATCTTGCACAGCCTTTATCTTAATTTCGTTATTGCCAAAATACCCGTCATCATTTAGAGTTTATTTTAATTTGATTTGTTAAGCAAGATTTCTTTTCATTTATGTGTGTTAGCCAATTTAATGGCTAAGGGTATGTAGGCTATACCTAAGTTACAGAGAACTTATTTATTTATTTTTTTTGTTCCAACTTCCAAGTGGCATAGAGTCTACGTTTGTTACGAATAAATTATGTTAAAATATAAATGACTCATTCTTGAAAAAAGGCAATAGAGCTGTGTGCATGAGCACATTTGTATGATGGGCTGTAAACGGGTTCGGGCTTTATAAAGCTGTCAATCAAAATGTACCTGTTAGGCTCAGGCTTCATCGTGCCTAATTTATATGGCCCGATTGCAGCTCTCTGCATTCCCGCTGCTGTAAATCATTATTGAAATTTCTGAATAAATCATTATTATTCTTATTGAACTGAATTGAATTGAGAGAGAGAGAGCGGTGCTGTGCGTCGCTTGGCTTTTTCTCTCTCTCTCTGTGTGTGTGTCTGCGTGTGAATGAGAGGAGTGTCCCGCGCTGAATTATACAAACAAGACAAATAGGTGACCTCGAGCCTAAGGGTCGCATATAAGGTATTCAGTTTCTGAATGGTTTAGGCACAAGCTAACAGTTTGGTGACGCTGTCTGAGCCTTACGTCATAATTTTTTTTATTACGCCGGTAATACCGGATACCGGGGTAAAATATGGAGGCGGTTTGACGGTATCAAAATTTGGATACCGCCCAAGCCTAGTAGTAAGAGCTAAAATTAATTTGGGACGGTTGTCAACTCATTTTGCACAGCACCAGAATTGAGAACCACTGCTCTGAGGTACTCAAAATAACAAACTATCATACTCAAAATGAACTGTCTTCCTAAAGTTACTTCTCTACTTCAGTATATGCCTGTGAATATTTCTTTACAATATTTAAAACAGTTTGATAATTAGGTCAATTAATTTCTCTGAAACAATAAGCACCCTTGGTTGCATAGGAGTACATCCCAACAGCCAGTTGATAAGAAAGGGTTGGGGCTTCTTGAGCATTTATTTAATTTTTACGCCTTCAGTCTGAGACATCTCGCACACTGGTCCATCCCTCCTTAGAGAGCTCCATCTTGGTTTATTGTTGAACAAGCCATCCTACTTCCCCTTCCACCACTACAATGGTTATCCATGTATTCATTTTATTTTGTAAATGTGTTACTTTTGGGGCTGATCTCAAAAATATAACAATTTTTACTGTTAGGTGCAGGCAAGGACTGTTTGTGCCATTTGCAGATAATGTTGTTTCTTTGGCTTCATAGGACATGGACCTTCAGCATGCAGTGGGACAGTTTGCTGCTGAGTGTGACAGGGCAGGGAGAGAAACAGCACCTCTAAGTCAGAGACCAAGGTGCTTGAATGGAAAAAAGGTGGCCATCTCCAGTCCTTATCCCAAATGGAGTTCAAGTAGCTGCATTTTTTTTATGAGAAATGGAATGTGAGATTTAAAGATGCAGCGGCAGCAGTAATGCAGTGTATGTGAAGGAGCTGGGACGAAAGGCAATGTTCTCAATTTACTGTTGAATCTAGGTTCCTACTCTCACCTGTGGTCTTGACTGAAAGGACAAGATCTCGAATACAACCGAACACATTTCACAAAGTGTTATGACCCACTTGCTTGAGTCACAACATAAAAGAGAGATGAACTAACAAAATAGCCTGAATGCAAATTATTTATTATAAAATGTAACTCATAAAACAATCAATCAAAGCAACCAACAAATGTCTAGGGATAATAATGAAGATAAAGAACTTGGGATAAGGAGGATATTAGGATATAAAGAGGATATAATCACAACAACACTTTAACTACATTATATAGGTAATGTAAAACAAAACCATAAGGTTAAAGAGTCAATGAGATGGCAGGTCTTGACATGAGGACTCCTAAGTAGCCACAGGTCCTGGGGTAGCTAGCACAAACAACTTTTATATACCCATTAATGAGTAATGCAGGCATCCAATCAGTATTTACCACATACTCCAATCTGGAGTTTTGGGATCATCAAAGTGTATTAATATTGTAAAACTTAAAACCTGTCGCTCTTCCCTAATCATAAAATATTCATCAAGTTTGTATTCTACTCAAAAAAGTAAATGTAGTAAACTAGAAAGAATCTTGAATCTAAAAGTAAAGAAACTTTACTAATAAAAGCTGCAACACAGGACAATTGAATGGGCTTTCTAAACTTGAGGCCCTGGTATATGCAAACTAAATGTCCTAGAGCTCCACCTTCTTTGATGTGCAGTGTCTTCCCAGTGATTTGTTTCTCATTCAGGGAGTCAGACAGAGAACATCATCCAAAACAACACTAGCTACATGAATACACTGGAGAGTGGAGTACAGATGTATCCGCACCTGTACAATCACTTGCAAAGAGACTTTAAGCCGCAGAGGTGCTGTTTGCCAGATGTTTATGAAACTGTTCTTCTTTCAGCCGCCATCATTGTTTACAGTAAACGCGAGGAGCACAACACATTTACAACCCACCTAATGCAGTGTAAGAGTGTTGGAAAACAGTATACCATCACTCAGCCTTTTCAAACATTATTCAGACATGAAACATCCTTTGCACATGAGAAAATGTTTTACTGCATTCATGTCATGTGTGCAACCTTCTGTCCAATTCTGTAGACACTGATCAGATCTGTACGGTTTCTCTCCAGTGTGAATTCTCTTTTGTGTGATTCAGATGTGTTAACTGATTAAACCTCTTGTCAAAGTGTGAACACTTGTACGGTCTGTCAAGTGTGAAATGTCTGGTGCAGTTTAAATTTTGTAATAAAAGTCTTCCCACACTCAAGCACATACTCTTTCACAACAGTGTGAATTTTTATGTGTTCATTAAGGTTTGCTGATCGGTTGAAACTCTTCCCACCTGAGTGCATGTAAATGGTTTATCTCCAGTGTGGGTCTTCATGTGTTTATTAAGGTCTGAGAAGTTGCTGAAACTCATCCCACACCGCAGCTGCGGTCACACTAGAGTTTGAGCATGCGAAATTCTGTTGTTCGGCGCTGCGAAAAGGAGCGGGATTAAACAAGATGATTAGACATTTAAAAAAGCGTTTGGAGTGTGAGTGATTGGTCCATTTTTAAAATTTCTGTCCAGAGGTCATGTTTTGATCTTCGATTAGTTTCACACAGTCAAGTGATGCGATTTCGCAGGTCAGAGTTCACCAAGCTTAAACTTTGCAACGCATTGAACTGCGAAACTTTACGCACGAACGTTTCCGGTCTGACACATTCGTCTATGAAAGGAAGTCTATGGGGAGAAAAGTCCAGTGTGACCGTGGCTCAAGTGCAAGTGAATGGTTTCTCTCCTGTGTGGCTTACCATGTGTATATTAAGGCATGATGATTGACTGAATATCATACCACACTAAGTGCAAGAGAATGGTTCCTCTCCAGTGTGGTTCCTCATGTGTCGATTAAGGTTTGATGAGCAGTTAAAACTCTTCCCACACTTAGTGCATGTGAATGGTTTCTCCCCAGTGTGGATCCTCATGTGTTTATTAAGAGATGTTGATTGGCTGAAACTCTTCCCACACAGAGTGCATGTAAATGGTTTCTCTCCAGTGTGGACCCTCAAGTGTAGATTAAGGGATGATGATATGCTAAAACTCTTCCCACACTGAGTGCATGTGTATGGTTTCTCTCCAGTGTGGATCCTCATGTGTAGATTAAAGTTGAATGACTGACTGAAACTCTTCCCACACTGAGTGCATGTGAATGGTTTCTTTCCAGTGTGGATCCTCTTGTGTTTATTAAGGTTTGATGAGCAGTTAAAACTCTTCCCACACTGAGTGCATGTGAATGGTTTCTCTCCGGTGTGGATCCTCATGTGTTCATTAAGGTGTTCTGATCGGTTGAAACTCTTCCCACACTGAGAGCATGTGAATGGTTTCTCTCCAGTGTGGATCCTCATGTGAATCTTAAGAATGTCTTTTCTTCCAAAACTCTTTCCACACTGAGTGCAGGTGAAGCGATTTGTGTCTCTCCTTTTAAAAATACCATCAGTCTGTAAATGATTTTTTTCCTCAATTTTGACATGATGTTCCTCCTCTTTACTCCCCTCGTACTCTTCAATTAGGTCTGAAATTAAAAAAAAAATTAGTTTTCATTAAGTCTTTAAAACTCTCATCAAAAGCTGAAAAGTGAAAAGACACTGGAAACATTGGCTACACACACTAATTTTGATGCACATTAAATGTAAAATAAATGAGATCATATTGTGTTTGGTCCATTAGCGTGTATACATTTAAGCAGATTCAAGTCATCTTTATTTATCTAATGCTTTTACAGTGTTAATTGTGTCAAAGCCGCTTAACATAGAAGTTATAGTGAATTGAAACCATGTCAGTTCAGTTTTCCAAATCTATCTCCTATGCACGATGTCGCGATACTAGGATGGAGGCGAGGGGGAGTGAAGGCTGCACAGCACACAAGCCACTATTTCACTATACGAAGAAATGCTGTAAAACTCCATCTCTGCCTCTCTCTCACTTTGGACACATGACCTGCTGCACTGGCCTGTTTGTAAGGTAACTTTTCCTCTCCTCTTGTCTGTTTAAGCAATAATTTTGGATCCGGACACGGGAGTGCCAGTGGTGCGAGTTTTCTCCACTGTGTCTATTACGGATTACCTGTGATAACAGTGTATTATGTGTGTTAAAGCACTGGCACTCTTGCTCATTGTATTAAAATAAACCACTGAGGGGTTTATAATTATGTTTCTGTGTATTATGGTACTGTAGTGATAATGTCATGTTTACATGCTTTACGTCTCCACATTATACTGTTGATATTCATTGTTGCTACGCAACAATGTGCGCTCAACAATGTGCATAGACTGTAACCGCGGCTGTTCTTCCCGCCATCGGTGAACAGCGCTTTCATTTCTAAAGCTGATCGCACCTTTTCTGTTGAGAAGGTGAAGACAATAACCAAAAATCAGAAAATATTATATAAAAATCTGAAAATATGAAGTGTAAGACCAACTTAATTAAAAACAATCAAAATAAAACATTTTAGAATACTAAATTATAGCAATAAGCCATTAAATATTTCATTTAACACCGTAATATACACATTTTCTTTTCTTCCTTTTTTTCCATTTTCTTTCTTTTCTTTCTTTTATTTTTTTTACAATAAAATCTAAATCAAGTGAATTAGTGCAACACAAGCTTAAACTTTGCAACGCATTGAACTGCGAAACTTTACGCACGAACGTTTCCGGTCTGACACATTCGTCTATGAAAGGAAGTCTATGGGGAGAAAAGTCCAGTGTGACCGTGGCTCAAGTGCAAGTGAATGGTTTCTCTCCTGTGTGGCTTACCATGTGTATATTAAGGCATGATGATGGACTGAATATCATACCACACTAAGTGCAAGAGAATGGTTCCTCTCCAGTGTGGTTCCTCATGTGTCGATTAAGGTTTGATGAGCAGTTAAAACTCTTCCCACACTTAGTGCATGTGAATGGTTTCTCCCCAGTGTGGATCCTCATGTGTTTATTAAGAGATGTTGATTGGCTGAAACTCTTCCCACACAGAGTGCATGTAAATGGTTTCTCTCCAGTGTGGACCCTCAAGTGTAGATTAAGGGATGATGATATGCTGAAACTCTTCCCACACTGAGTGCATGTGTATGGTTTCTCTCCAGTGTGGATCCTCATGTGTAGATTAAAGTTGAATGACTGACTGAAACTCTTCCCACACTGAGTGCATGTGAATGGTTTCTTTCCAGTGTGGATCCTCTTGTGTTTATTAAGGTTTGATGAGCAGTTAAAACTCTTCCCACACTGAGTGCATGTGAATGGTTTCTCTCCGGTGTGGATCCTCATGTGTTCATTAAGGTGTTCTGATCGGTTGAAACTCTTCCCACACTGAGAGCATGTGAATGGTTTCTCTCCAGTGTGGATCCTCATGTGAATCTTAAGAATGTCTTTTCTTCCAAAACTCTTTCCACACTGAGTGCAGGTGAAGCGATTTGTGTCTCTCCTTTTAAAAATACCATCAGTCTGTAAATGATTTTTTTCCTCAATTTTGACATGATGTTCCTCCTCTTTACTCCCCTCGTACTCTTCAATTAGGTCTGAAATAAAAAAAAAACATTAGTTTTCATTAAGTCTTTAAAACTCTCATCAAAAGCTGAAAAGTTAAAAGACACTGGAAACATTGGCTACACACACTGTAATTTTGATGCACATTAAATGTAAAATAAATGAGATCATATTGTGTTTGGTCCATTAACGTGTACACATTTAAGCTGATTCAAGTCATCTTTATTTATCTAGTGCTTTTACAGTGTTAATTGTGTCAAAGCCGCTTAACATAGAAGTTATAGTGAATTGAAACCATGTCAGTTCAGTTTTCCAAATCTATCTCCTATGCACGATGTCGCGATACTAGGATGGAGGCGAGGGGGAGTGAAGGCTGCACAGCACACAAGCCACTATTTCACTATACGAAGAAATGCTGTAAAACTCCATCTCTGCCTCTCTCTCACTTTGGACATATGACCTGCTGCACTGGCCTGTTTGTAAGGTAACTTTTCCTCTCCTCTTGTCTGTTTAAGCAATAATTTTGGATCCGGACACGAGAGTGCCAGTGGTGCGAGTTTTCTCCACTGTGTCTATTACGGATTACCTGTGATAACAGTGTATTATGTGTGTTAAAGCACTGGCACTCTTGCTCATTGTATTAAAATAAACCACTGAGGGGTTTATAATTATGTTTCTGTGTATTATGGTACTGTAGTGATAATGTCATGTTTACATGCTTTACGTCTCCACATTATACTGTTGATATTCATTGTTGCTACGCAACAATGTGCGCTCAACAATGTGCATAGACTGTAACCGCGGCTGTTCTTCCCGCCATCGGTGAACAGCGCTTTCATTTCTAAAGCTGATCGCACCTTTTCTGTTGAGAAGGTGAAGACAATAACCAAAAATCAGAAAATATTATATAAAAATCTGAAAATATGAAGTGTAAGACCAGCTTAATTAAAAACAATCAAAATAAAACATTTTAGAATACTAAATTATAGCAATAAGCCATTAAATATTTCATTTAACACCGTAATATACACATTTTCTTTTCTTCCTTTTTTTTCATTTTCTTTCTTTTCTTTATTTTATTTTTTTTACAATAAAATCTAAATCAAGTGAATTAGTGCAACATAAGCTTAAACTTTGCAACGCATTGAACTGCGAAACTTTACGCACGAACGTTTCCGGTCTGACACATTCGTCTATGAAAGGAAGTCTATGGGGAGAAAAGTCCAGTGTGACCGTGGCTCAAGTGCAAGTGAATGGTTTCTCTCCTGTGTGGCTTACCATGTGTATATTAAGGCATGATGATTGACTGAATATCATACCACACTAAGTGCAAGAGAATGGTTCCTCTCCAGTGTGGTTCCTCATGTGTCGATTAAGGTTTGATGAGCAGTTAAAACTCTTCCCACACTTAGTGCATGTGAATGGTTTCTCCCCAGTGTGGATCCTCATGTGTTTATTAAGAGATGTTGATTGGCTGAAACTCTTCCCACACAGAGTGCATGTAAATGGTTTCTCTCCAGTGTGGACCCTCAAGTGTAGATTAAGGGATGATGATATGCTAAAACTCTTCCCACACTGAGTGCATGTGTATGGTTTCTCTCCAGTGTGGATCCTCATGTGTAGATTAAAGTTGAATGACTGACTGAAACTCTTCCCACACTGAGTGCATGTGAATGGTTTCTTTCCAGTGTGGATCCTCTTGTGTTTATTAAGGTTTGATGAGCAGTTAAAACTCTTCCCACACTGAGTGCATGTGAATGGTTTCTCTCCGGTGTGGATCCTCATGTGTTCATTAAGGTGTTCTGATCGGTTGAAACTCTTCCCACACTGAGAGCATGTGAATGGTTTCTCTCCAGTGTGGATCCTCATGTGAATCTTAAGAATGTCTTTTCTTCCAAAACTCTTTCCACACTGAGTGCAGGTGAAGCGATTTGTGTCTCTCCTTTTAAAAATACCATCAGTCTGTAAATGATTTTTTTCCTCAATTTTGACATGATGTTCCTCCTCTTTACTCCCCTCGTACTCTTCAATTAGGTCTGAAATTAAAAAAAAAATTAGTTTTCATTAAGTCTTTAAAACTCTCATCAAAAGCTGAAAAGTGAAAAGACACTGGAAACATTGGCTACACACACTAATTTTGATGCACATTAAATGTAAAATAAATGAGATCATATTGTGTTTGGTCCATTAGCGTGTATACATTTAAGCAGATTCAAGTCATCTTTATTTATCTAATGCTTTTACAGTGTTAATTGTGTCAAAGCCGCTTAACATAGAAGTTATAGTGAATTGAAACCATGTCAGTTCAGTTTTCCAAATCTATCTCCTATGCACGATGTCGCGATACTAGGATGGAGGCGAGGGGGAGTGAAGGCTGCACAGCACACAAGCCACTATTTCACTATACGAAGAAATGCTGTAAAACTCCATCTCTGCCTCTCTCTCACTTTGGACACATGACCTGCTGCACTGGCCTGTTTGTAAGGTAACTTTTCCTCTCCTCTTGTCTGTTTAAGCAATAATTTTGGATCCGGACACGGGAGTGCCAGTGGTGCGAGTTTTCTCCACTGTGTCTATTACGGATTACCTGTGATAACAGTGTATTATGTGTGTTAAAGCACTGGCACTCTTGCTCATTGTATTAAAATAAACCACTGAGGGGTTTATAATTATGTTTCTGTGTATTATGGTACTGTAGTGATAATGTCATGTTTACATGCTTTACGTCTCCACATTATACTGTTGATATTCATTGTTGCTACGCAACAATGTGCGCTCAACAATGTGCATAGACTGTAACCGCGGCTGTTCTTCCCGCCATCGGTGAACAGCGCTTTCATTTCTAAAGCTGATCGCACCTTTTCTGTTGAGAAGGTGAAGACAATAACCAAAAATCAGAAAATATTATATAAAAATCTGAAAATATGAAGTGTAAGACCAACTTAATTAAAAACAATCAAAATAAAACATTTTAGAATACTAAATTATAGCAATAAGCCATTAAATATTTCATTTAACACCGTAATATACACATTTTCTTTTCTTCCTTTTTTTCCATTTTCTTTCTTTTCTTTCTTTTATTTTTTTTACAATAAAATCTAAATCAAGTGAATTAGTGCAACAGGATTTAGTTTGCTTGTTTAGTTTAGTTTCACGAGTGCTTCCAGAAGATGGAACTCCTGTTTACTGTGGTATTAACCAATCAATCAAACTTCAAAAACTCCCAAAGTGTGAGTGTGTGTGTTTGTGTGTGAGAGTGAATAATGTGTGTAAGAGAGAGTCTGAGAAACAGTGCGATTGTACCTGTGTGTGTGTGTGTATATGTGTGTGTGTGTGTGTGTGTGAGCGCGCGTCTGTCTGTGTGTGTAAAAGAGTGTAATTATATGTGTTTGTGTGTGCGTGTGCCCTTGTATATGTATAACAACATCAGTATTACACAGATATTACGAGGAGATGGTGAATTATGTGGACATTATGTATGACATGCAATCATACTAAATATTTTTTATTTTCAGAAAGTAAAACTACACATAATATGGGAGAAATGACTAGAAATAGTAAACTTGCTTTACTTGCTACTTGCTCTACAAACAATTGTTTGCATGACTATATAGACCAAGTAGAATAATATAATAAGGAAATATCAGTTTGCAACATCAAACAGCAAGTAGTTTTTTTTTTTTTTTGTTTTTTTTTTGGAGCAGTAAACATATCAGGCTGAATAATGATATAATAATGAATCATGGACTTCTTCTGTCTTCATCAGTTTCAAAAACACAGGTTTCTTTACAATTTAAAATGGCATCTTTGGATATCTTTTCTGCTGGAGACAAAGTTGTCCTGAAAAACCTAAAAAAAAAAAAAATGTAAAAAAAACGAAAGATATCATCTTATGCCTTAGCAGTATAATACTTTTAGGATCTAAAAATGTATTCTTTAAAAAAAAAAGGTCTCAAGTAAAAAGATGTCAATGGTGGTGCCTGCTGGTACATGAAGAATATGGTCAATCCTTAGGAATTTTACACTCAAATGTTTGCATATCATCAGCATGCTGTAATCCATTTCTTAATCAGCGAAAGTCATTTTTAGACTAGTTTGTTGGCCAGTTGTAGTCAGTGCAATGCTAAATGTTATTGCTCCACTATAATTTGTTTGTTTTGATCTGTTTGTTTGGAATACTGTACGATGTTTTATAATAATTAATTATTTTAGTGTCCATTTTATTCAGCATATTTAAAATTGGGGGCATCCACGTTTTCTGACATACTTTAAACCAGGGTTTCTGCAGGTTTCAACAAATTAAATTTAAAACATTTAAAGACAGTTTTAAGACCATTATGAATTAAATTTTTTGACTCATAATGGGCTAAAGGGTAAAGAATTTTTCAAATGGACCAGATGAAAAAGATTTCTATTTCCTCTATCAAAAAATGTCATAATTTATTAAATTTAATAATACAATAATGAATAATAATAAATTAAAATATTTTAGATATTTCTTAGCAAAATATCTTAAATATTGTGTAAAAACAAGCAAGCTTTACTTGTATCCACACATGTTTTTTCCAACATAAACTTTCTTTAAAATGAAAAAAAAACAAAAACTGAACAAATGTTTTAAAAGTTTAAAAAACTATTATAAACTAATTCTATGAATTATAATCTGTCCAGATCCATGTCCTCAGCAGTAAATACATGGAGCACGTTTAAACAAATGTTATTGTGAGGAAAATAATTAAACCATTATGATAAAAAGAGTTGAAATTATCTTTTTGAATAAAAGTTTTATTGAGATGGATTGGTGGTGATTGTATGGGTTTTGGTCAGATTGGGAAGAAAAATATGAACAAAGGAAAATGAAGACTTGTTTAAAAAAAGATTTACAACATAATATTTCAGTAAATTTAAGATTTTTGAAGGCTAAAATTTGGATTGGAATTTAAGAAATTTTAAGACCTCGTGGAAACCCTGTTTACACACAACAGCCCTGGTAATTAGTTATAATAAAAAGAGAAAATGGGAGACTAATAATACATAAAATAATTGACAAGACACGAGAACAAGTAACAAGAAAGAAACTCATTCTGTCTTTCAATGAGTGCTTATGTGCATTTAAGAGAACTAGGCAGCACACTCAAGGCTGCAAGATGGATTTAATTTAGTATTCTAATTAAAAATATCTGAATGAAGATCAAATGACTGAGATAGAGGTAAAGTTGGTTTTATATTCACACATTTTGACTTTCCCCTTAATAATATAATTTCATAAAAGTGTTATTTGCAAACTCTAAATAGCGAAATCTTATTAGCAGCCAATGACTATCAAAGTACAACATTGTTCACAGTCAAATAAACAGTGTTAATGTTGTTTTTAAGTCATACTTGCATGCTAATTCCGATCAAATATTCAAAGTAACATTATAAACAATATAGAGACTTCTAAATGAACAAACGTGCGAATATAAAACCAATTTTACCTCTATATGACTGAGTTGGTCTTTGAGAAAGAAAATCAACCTGTTTGTTCCTGCAGATCTTCCTGTTTGACTGTGAATGTTTCTTCAATCTTCACATCTTCACTCTCCTCTTTAATAAACGCCATCTTTATAACAGTGTGGAGATCAGTCGCTTCAGCAGTTTTTCTCTGTGTTTGGAAACTTTATCCTGTTTAAAAATAACAAAACAATAAAAAATTTTCCTGTTAAAATAAATAAAACAATGAACAAAAATAAAATAACTTCTTTTCAACACTTGCTTCAACAGTTTCTTTATATGAGAGTAATTGCAAAAAAGAAATCAGGTAAGTCCGAGCATATAGGTAAAGTTGGATTTATATTTGCACATTCGGACTTTCCCCTTAATAATATAATTTCAAGTATATTTGCAAACTCTAAATAGCAAAATCATATTAGCAGCCTATAGCCCCTTTCACACATACAGACCTTTCCGGAAAATTACTGGCAATTTTCCAGAAAGGTTGTATATGTGAACGGGCCCTTTTTGAAAATACCGGTAAATTCGTTCTGGCAATTTTCCAGAAAGAGAAGTTGTAACATTACCGGTTATTTGCTGGAATGCTGTGCCGTGTAAATGCAGAAGGAAGATTGCTGGAAAGAGCGCGTACAAGTCTAGAACGTGCTGACATGAGACATCTGCTTTAGCCAATCAGAACAGTCAGACGCATTCTTGTGCGCGCGGTTTAAGAGAATAAAAGCCTTTGAATATTTTTCCAGACACCTTTAGCTGCTAGATGTTATTCAGATAACGTTTCTATGTTCCTTCTTAATGCTAACTGTGTAAATAATTATTGATAAAATGTTTATGATAATCCGTTGTTTGTTTACCTTCAAGCTTTGCGTGTGCCCGTGAGCGAAAGCACACACACATATCATGAACATCTCGACATGCGAAAGTGTTCCTCTATATGTTTTCATTGGAGTTGTACTCAATACTGATCCATCCAAAGAGTTTGTAATGTAGTCAAATGGTTACAAACACAAGCGCAGCCGTTTAGAGGTCATTTCTAGTTAATGATGTCAGAATTTACCGGCATTTTGCGATGGATGTGTGAATGCTTTTTTTCCGGAAAAATTCCGTAACGCCCTCGCCTGTGTGAACAGCGCTTTTTTTTAAATTACCGGTAAAGTCGTTCCGGAAATTTTGCGGATATTTACCGGTATTACTGTGTGAAAGGGGCTAATGACTATCAAAGTGCATAGAGGTAAAGTTGGTTTTATATTCACATATTCGTTCATTAAGAAGTCTCTATATTGTTTACCATGTTACTTTGAATATTCGATTTGAAATAGCATGCAAGTGTGACTTTCTGCAGGCTTTCTGCACTAAACAACATTAGCACTGTTTATTTGACTGTGAACAATGTTGTACTTTGATAGTCATTGGCTGCTAATATGATTTAGCTATTTAGAGCTTGCAAATAATGCTTTAATGAAACTATATAATTAAGGGGAAGTCTGAATGTACGATTATAAAACCAACTTTACCTCT